TTTTAAATTATAATTTCTAATTCATTTTATATTAAGAATTTGTGAATTTTATCTTATGTAGTTATTATTTGTTGTTTTGCCTGCGGGGGTCGCCTTTCTACACTTTGCCTCGTTTGTGTCTCCTGGGCTTCCGTAGCTCGGTCCGCCCGCATAGCATCTCCGCTTCCCCCTTTTCCCTCACAGCGTTGTTCTGCGCTGCTGTGGGTATGTCAGACAAGTTCACTGCTGCGATATGTTTATTTTCTGTATGGATGTTGTTGTTTATGTTGAAGTTTTATCATATGATGTTTATTGTTTGTTAATGTGTTATTTTGCCGTTTTTACCATCATTGTGGGTTTTTATAACCAGTTTTATTATAATTTTCTTTCTTTTATTTTGGCGCGAAAAACCGGTGCTAATCCAGCACACTCCGGTTGAACATTGTTTTTATTTTCACATTTAGGCTGGAGTGCAAGGAGATTAGAAGAGGAAGTTGATTTATTGTTTTACTCTTCTTCTCCAGGTATGTGTTTTTATTTTAAGTTATCCTTTTTATCTCTGTTTATTTAACTCTGTCTATTGTGTTGTTGTGGCCACCAGGTGGCGTTTTTCTCCTCTTGTTTTTAGTTTATGATTTTTGTGAGATTTCTTTTTTTTTGTTGCCGTTGATTTTTGTTGAATCGTAAAAAAAAAAAAAAAGTTAGTAGACAGCGTTGTTCTGCGCTGCTGTGGGCTGGAGTGCAAGGAGATTAGAAGAGGAGGTTGATTTATTGTTTTGCTCTTCTTCTCCAGAATAAAAAAAGATTTCATCGAAACCTGATTGCCTGATTGACTTACCACCCGTTACACAAGTCACGTTATTGCTTGGATTTTACGGCGCCACCTTAAGTCCCTGAACTTCACATTTTAACGGGAAAAAAAGAGCAACGCGACTTGGATGTAACGAGTAACGCCACAGTTTTGTAGAAATGTAGTGAAGTAGAAAGTACAGATACTTACTGTAAAATGTAGTGGAGTAAAAGTAGAAAATATCCATTATTAAATCTACTTAAGTAAAGTACAGATACACGAAAATTGTACTTAAGTACAAGTAATGAAGTACTTGTACTTCGTTACTTCCCACCACTGGTGGTGGGGAAATGACATAATTAAGCAAAGAATCCGAAAAATGGACGGATAGTTTTGATATTAATTGTCAACACAGCAAGAGAAGAAGGTCCAAAGGGATCACATTTCACAGGTCAGTAAAAAGCTTTAATTAAAATATAAAGCAAGTGGAGAGTAGGTTCGCTATGCTAGTTTAACTTTCATTACCTTAACATGAACTCTTGCTGCGCACTTCGGAGTATTTCGGTTCAATTAACACAAAAATAAAGCAACCTACATTTTCTGACAGATAATCAGGAGAGCAGGTGTTAGCTAATCAACCATTCCTTCGTAATGATCGCAAAATGAAAATTCAAAAACATAAATCTGCAACGGACAGTATGTTCTGTTTGGTGTTTTTACTTTTTTGCTTGGGGAATGTTTTTGTGTTTTGTGTGTGTGTTAATTCCTGATGCACTTGAACGTAATCTTTGCGCTCCCAGGGCTGTAGTTTATTGGTTGCCATTGCAACGAGTCTGCGTGTGACGTTAAGCTGACAGACTAAGAAAAAAATAATAACCACCCGTTTTTCTACATTTTTCCCCTGGACTAACTGCATCATTTGTTCATAGAACGTGA